CTAGAGGATCTGTCTGATATCCTGAAAATAGCCCAGATAAGATCAGCGAATATCCAGATTATCCAGCTCCTAAGACACCCTGTGGCTTTAATGATGTCTAGACGGGTCGGTGGCAATTTCTTTATATGGGACAGTAGGACTAAGGTAGAACTAAAGAACGAAATCACACAAAGGCGGAATAGAGTGGCTTGGGAAGCGTTTAACTACTGTAACAACCACTTGAAGTCTATGGAACTGGTTGAAAATGATCCTTGGCTGAAAGACAGATACTTGAGAGTCACTCATCATGAAATGTCACTTAAACCTCTCGAAACTGCAGAAAAGGTTTACTCATTTATCGGAGCTACTCTAACCGTTCATATTAAAGAATACATTCGAAATATAACCGAGGCTAACTCAGAGGGGTTCAAAAATGCGCTCGAAGACCTTTCGAATGTGTACAGGAATTCTACAGAAATTATCACAAAATGGAAGAAATTGAATTCGCCGACGCTTAAGTACTGGGACGTTTTTTCCATTGAAGCTCAATGTAAACGAATGTTTGAACCCTTGAAACACGAATTTTCCGTTGACAATATGCCCGACTTACAGCTGATGAAAATAAATTCAGCATTAGATGAGTTATATGATAAAATGGATAACGAATAATCTGACAAACTTATCTTCATTATTCATCGATGACTATTGATAATTTAATTAAATGACGTCATCGTATGAATTATTTCATATTTGATATTATATTAGTTCATGATCATGATTATTTTTTAACCTAATTAGCACATATTCCTGCGATATTGTTTTATTACAACCGATTTAACATTTGGTATTCGGTATTCGGTGACCGAATACCGAATCAACCGAATATTCACTTGACCAAATTAAATCGACTGAATCGATTCGGTCAAACGAACGTTCATAAATTTGCTTGACCGATTTACTCGGTGATCCGGTTTTCGGTGATTCGCTCATCTGTTGACTATATGTTCAGTAACTTATGTCATTTGAAACTGTATATCGGACACAAAAATAACACCAGAGACGTAAATAGATAACCACATGACAAAGAAACACAATTCAAAGAGTTACAAACACAATTAACGATTTTACTCTATTTATTTTAATCCTAAACTCCTTCATGGAGTATTCTTTTACTGAACCATGATCATTAAATCATACAGGGAAACGTTGACTTTAGACGTGAAGTGATAGTTTGAAGTGTACTAATATATAAGTATACACGAGATATATATATATAGTTCAAGTCAGTTGTTCCAGCTATCAGAGAATATCTCTGAGTATAAGTTGGACTTGCTGGGTATAACTGAGACCCATATGCCTGGTACAGGATCAGAGCTACTGGATAATGGCTCCTTACTTATTTATTCAGGGAGGACGGACGGTATAAGAAGGCGAGGTGTCGGTCTTACCCTTTCAAAGAAGATTAAAAATTCATCTACCAATATCTGACCGTTTGTTGAGTGCAAGGCTGCATAGTCAACACCTGAACATCTCTGTTGTTGTGGCATATGCGCCAACTGAGGGGGCTTCAGATAATGATAAGGATGAATTCTACCAGCAGTTGTCAAGTGCATTCGATGAGCTACCCCGACATGATCTAAAATTACTGTTCGGTGATCTTAATGCTAAGGTCACATCGGACTGCAGTTCTATGTCAGGTGTCATTGGTGGGCACTCGCTTCACAGCTCATCAAATGACAATGGTACCCGATTGTTGGACTTTTGCATTGCCCACCAACTTACCATCGGTGGCACTATGTTTCAGCAAAAGGATATACATAAAGGTACGTGGAGATCACCTAATGGTCGTACTGTAAACCAAATAGACCACATCTGTATCAGTAAGAAGTTTGGAGGCTCTTTGCTAAATGTAAAAGTTTGTAGGGGGGCTGACATTGGGTCTGATCACTATTTGGTAAGAGCACGACTGAGAATGAAGCTTATGTCAGTGAAAAAGAAGCAGGAACGTAAGCTTGAGATTCCTGCTATTGAGCATCTGCGTGATCATTCACTTGTTTCCGAATACAATATTGTTCTGAGAAACAAATTTGACTGTTTGGAACCTGAGGTTGACCTGGAAACAATGTGGGACAACTTCAAGACAACTGTCCAACAAGTTTCCATGGAAATTCTTGGGCAAAGACCTCGAAAAAAGAAGGACAGGCACCAATCTCAGAAGACAAAAGAATTATTGAAGAACCGTAAGGAATTTAAGCGTAAAGACCCTAATTCGAACGCTAACAGGTCAGAGTATTCTAGATTGAATAAGCTCTTTAAAAAAAGTAGCAAGGTGGACGATAACAACTGGGCACGTAGAATGGCCAATGACTTGGAAGAAGCTGCGAGAAAAGGTCAGCAACGTGAGGTATGGCAGAAGATCAATGTCATATCTGGAAAGAAGAAGAAGCAGTCAACTGCAGTTAGAGACGTATCTGGCCAGTTGATTGTCGACCCTCATGCCCAGAAAGAAAGGTGGAAAGAGCACTTCTCTAGGCTATTGAACCCTCCCCCGCAAGAGGCCAATATTTCTGACCTAGACAACATCCCTCCGCAACCCAGTTTTGACGACCTTTCCGATTCGGATGAGGCTCCTACAAGAAACGAGATTGTTGATGCCCTCAAAAAACTCAAGAATCACAAAAGTCCAGGAGTGGATGGTATCACCAACGAGCAACTTAAGTATGGACAGGATGGGTTGGTTGATCAACTAGTTGTGTTGTTCAAGAAAGTGTGGGAAGATGAGAAGATTCCTGAGGATTGGTCCAAAGGTGTTATTATCATCGTTGGAAAGAAAGGTGACACCTCTCATTGCGCTAACAACAGAGGCATTACATTAAGATCCACAGCCTCGAAGCTCCTGCAGATGATACTCCTGTGGAGACTTAGCAATGGCATGGAAAAATTTCTCCGGGAGAATCAAAGTGGTTTTAGACAGAATCGCTCATGTATTGACCAGGTTTATTCACTCCGCTGTATTATACACCAATGCATTGAGTATAATATTCCTCTGTATATTAATTTTGTTGATTTCAAAGCAGCTTTTGATTCGATTGACAGGCAGTTCATTTGGAGAAGTATGCAGCACTACGGTTTACCTGACAAGTACATTAGAATTATGAAGGCGTTCTTCACTCACACAGTTAGTGCTGTTAGGGTCAATGGAGAGGTTACAGGTTGGTTTGATGTCAACTCGGGAACTGGGCAAGGTGATATACAGGGACCACCACTCTTCAACTTTTGTTTGAATCTTTCGGCATACCTTATGGAACTAAACAAAGTCATTAGCAAGGGGGCTTTATTACAGCTGCCAGCCCCCGGGGTAGAAGAGAAACATCTCTTGGACACTGATTACGCTGATGACATGGCCATGTTAGATAACTCAAAAGAGGGGCTGCAGGAAACCACTGACCTTCTCTGCAAATACAGTGCCTATGCGGGTCTGAAGATTAATGCAGGCAAAACACAGAGCATGGTTGTCAGCAAAAGTGCATCGCAGAGGCCGTATTCTAAAGACGACACTATGGACATTAATGTGGAAGGTCTCCCAATACAGCAGGTCAGCAATTTCACTTACTTGGGTGCAATCATCAGTGCGAATGGAACAATTGACAAAGAACTATCAGCTCGAATTCAAAAGGCCTCTGGGGCATTCTATCAGCTTAGCAGTATATGGTACAGTCGCAGCATTAAGACTCCAACTAAAATCAGAATTTACAAAGCAGCTGTGCTCACTATACTGCTTTATGGAAGTGAGGTATGGAATACCACACAGACGCAGATGAAAAGATTTGAGGTGTTCCATCATAGATGTCTGAGGAGAATCCTGAAAATCAAATGGTTTTATCATGTATCTAATGCTGATGTACTTAAGCGGGCTAACATCGCCCCTGTTGATACTTTCGTACGAGCAGCTAGACTCCGATGGTTTGGCCATGTGGTGAGGATGCCAGAAGAAAGAATACCCAACTATCTTCTGCACTGGATCCCAAAGCATGGTAAAAGGTCAAGAGGTAGACCTCGGAAAAACTGGTTGTCATGTGTCCGGGAGGATGCAGCAATCTTCACAGGTGTCGATAACATCACGATAGAAGATGCAGAACAACAAGCTACAGACAGGGTTCACTGGAGAGGTCTAATACACCGGAGAAAGGAGTTACTATGTGGTGCAGGCCACTCCAACGACTAGGAGGAGACCTTTTCAAGTACAAGTAAGTACACGAGATATATAAGTTAACACGAAAAAACGAAGACCAATCGTATGAAATTGAGCATTTACATTGCGCATTCATGATGAAGAAGTGATTTGGTTCATGTAATTATGTTCTTCTTTTCAATTTTGAATCTCAATTGTGAGAACGTAACTGTAAGATAGATGTCGAGTATACTAACTTGCTCGATGAGGTTGCTACGTATTAAAGTATTAAGCACCACGTGTTATAACAATGTGAACAAACCACTCGCCTTTGTTTTCCAGATCATGTGTGAACTGTGAGATATGATACATTAACATCGGGAACATATTTTCATCAATTGGTTCCTGATGGTTTTGAGTATATTGAATTTTAACCGAAGACCTAATTTTGTGTTGCCTGGTCGGGTAGGAGTGCAATCATCGGTATTCGACACAGTCTGACATTGGAGGTGACAACATTCCTGCCCTCGACATTCGGCACGTAAGAGTGGAGTAGTAATTCCTCATACAACACTCTCATTTTTGTGGCAATCATACATTATTGAATTCACGAGAAAACATCCAGATTCCAGAACCAATCAATATACATTTTTCAGAAGGTAGAACTACATCACAAAATATTCTGAAAGGCGGATGTTTCGATGTAAACCAAATGTTAAGCATACTTGCTCGATGAGGTTGGCTCATACTGAACACCACATTTAATTTACCTAACCTACTCGCCTTTTGTTCTCAAGCTCACAATACATTAACAACACAATACATTAACATTGGGCACCCTGGGAAGCTTGTTTAGTTCAACAGTTTTCTGTTCAGTTTGTTTTGTGCCTTGCTTTTCATCCGCAATTTTATTGGATATGAAGTCAGAAGCTTGGCGACTGATAGCTGCTTTCATCACTGGATGTCTTTGGTTTTCAATCCTTTCTTTTTGCCTTCACCAACCTACTAAACACTCTGGTGAGGTGAAATATTCCAGCAAATTAATAGATGTTGAGACTACAACTCAGAGTATAGCATCTAGTGTACCCCATCGACCGTCTCAAGATCCCGCATTTAATCTCAAACTTAATCCAAACAAGAAGTTCATTATTATAGTGGCAGCCTTTCGAAGTGGGTCAACGTTTTTAGGAAACCTGTTCGACAGTAATCCTACGATGCAATACTTGTTCGAGCCGTTTCACAATGCTCATGTCCGGAACCTCCGTAGAGACAAGTATCTGCTCGGAGCAAGACCTGACCACACGGAGAGTGACTTGAGGATGTTGTATCTCCAGCAGATGTTACACAACTGTACCATCTACCCCACTCCTTTCCCCGAAAAATATGCTTGGTGTGGTTCGAAAGAGGAGAATTTACTTCGCTTCAATTCGACTGAGTGCGGAGGAAGAAAGCTACCTGGATCACACCAAGAGATCTGTAGATATCGGGACACTACCGTGATCAAGGTTATAAGACTAGCGGATCTGTCTGATATCCTGAAAATAGCCCAGATAAGATCAGCGAATGTTAAAATCATCCAGCTCCTAAGACACCCTGTGGCCCTGATGATGTCTAGACGGACTGGTGGTAAGTTCTTTATGTGGGACATCAGGACTAAGGTTGAGCCCGAACTTCTCGTGGGTGGGGACATCGATCAAAGGCGGATTAAAATTGCTTGGGAGGCGTTCAACTACTGTAACAACCATTTGAAGGCTATGGAACTGGTTGAAAGTGATCCTTGGCTGAAAGACAGATACTTGAGAGTCACTCATCATGGAATGTCACTAAAACCTCTCGAAACTGCAGAGAAGGTTTACTCATTTATAGGGGCTACTCTAACCGATGATATTAAAGAGTACATTCGAGATATAACCGAGGCCAAATCAGAGGGTTTTAAAAATGCACCTAAAATGGCTTTAAATGTGTATAGGAATTCTACGGACATTGTAACAAAATGGAAGAAACTGGTCTCGGCCACAGTTAAATATTGGGACGTTTTCTCCATTGAAGCTCAATGTAAACGGATGTTTAAACCGTTGATTGATGAATTTTCTGTTGACACAATACCAGACTTACAGCTGTTGAAAATAAACTCTGCATTAGATGAGTTATATGATCAGATTGAAGAAACTGATGAACCTATTTCCATTGATGACGATTGATAAATAAATGACATGATTACATGTATTATTTGATATTGAATTAGCTCATTACATTATTGTTTCACATACTGATTTATTTCCCTCTTCCATGCAACACTGTTATACGAATAATGTAAGGTCCTTTATCAGATAATGCGTTTTTTCCGAAATAATAAACTTGAGACTTCACCTTTTGAATGTAATGAATGATCACAGATAACATAATATGTGAGATTATTACACGAATAAGAGTGAGCCATCATAAATATTTTCACTACAGTACCTTAAGCAAAAATCTTTATTTTTATTTTATTTGAATTAGATTCGAAAAGTTTTAAAACTGGCACTTTAATTCTCAATAGCGTAGGATAATATTTTTTAGGGGTTGACATATTACGTAAGCGAAATTTCGGCCGTTTTAGACCCCCTCCCGCATATTCATAATATTTATATTTAAATTAATATCATTGAACTGGAGTAAACTAGTACTAATAATTTCAAATATAAGGTGCGACTGTCAAAATTGAATAAGATCTTAAGCCAGAGGTATACTTGCTCGATGAGGTTGCTACGTGTTCAACACCACGTCATTTAATGTATCTAACCCGCTTGCCTTTGTTTTCCAGCTCATAATAGATTAACACCTTAGCACCTTGGAAGACGGATCTCATTGAGTAATTACGTAGGTTGGGTTAATATCGTGTAGATTATTGATACCAATTCCATTGTTTTTCATCTGGAGGATATGAAGTCAGAAGCTTGGCGACGGATAGCTGCTTATGAGCGTTACCGTACCCAAATACAAAATGATACCGATAATGAAATTAATAAAATTGTAATGATTTTAGGTTTATTACATTAATCACATTTTTTAGAATCTTCTTTAGGTTGCTGTCGGGCTGATACCAAGTGTACCTCAAGTTAAGAGTGGTAAGTACTGTGGCAAACTTTGGGGAAAAAAGAGATCAAATCATGTCATCCGATCATTGACAATTAATTGGTGATGTGATCCATGGATAGAATTTCATTGACCTAGAAATGGGCTAAATCTAGGGTCGAATCTGAACATGACAACTTTTATCTGTACATAGTAGCTACAGACTTAGAAGTAAACACGATATCTATGCTCGATTCTTGTATCTCATAAGGGAACCTTTGCTAAAGGTATTATATATCAGGGACAAAAGGATTTCGCGGCATGTACGAAACCGCGAAATTTCCAATTCTCCGCGACAAATCGCGATTTTTTACGTTTTCCGCGACAGATCGCGAAATTTCCCATTCTCCGCGACAAATCGCGATTTTTTCAGTCCTCCGCGAAAAATTGCGCATTTTCCTTTAAATCTGAGGACCAAATTTGCACATTTTCCTTTAAATCTGAGGACCAAGTTTGCGTATTTTCCATGCGGGCGGATATATGGACACGTTCATTGAAGTTTGAGGATATTGGTAAATTTCTAAAATAGCGTTTTCGACGATAGTGGCTTAATTTTAGCATCTATTAATTTAGCGTGTTCATAAGTTCTGAACATTAGCCACGTGACCCATACTCCCATATGCACTGCTCAGAAATAAAATGTATTGCTTTTAGGCACTATAATGTAAAAAATGTCACATTTTTGTGACATTGTTCACCATAGCTGCCCAATTATCATTCCTTGGTCTGAAATATAGTAGATTAGGTCAATCTAACAATTATGATACAACATTGGTTAAAGGGCACGGATCGAACGGCTTTAAGGCAATATTTCGTAAACTTTGTCACACTCAGAATACGAGACCTCTTTTCTACTGTGAGGTGTCCTCAAAACCCTTTCAACTCATTATTTGATGGTTCTTCTGCCAATCATAGCCCTAAAATATGTTGTTTTGAAAAGTTAGCTAATACATGCACTTGGTTATTGGGAAATGATGTAAATTCTGTCACATTACATGGAATTTGAAATTCTGGGTGAATTTCCGAAATCATTTATATCTGATTTTGGTTTGGAAGGCGGGGAAAACTCTATATATGGACGATACACGGATACAGTTGGTTCAAGTATAGGGCAGTTGATGTAAACATCGTCACAAAATGATACGACATCGTAAATAGGTTACATTTTGCGGGGAAAATCTATATAAGGACGATACACGGATACAGTTTATTCAAGTATAGGGCAGTTGTTGTAAACATCGTCACAAAATGATACGACATCGTAAATAGGTTACATTTTGCGGGAAAACTCTATATAAGGACGATACACGGATACAGTTGATTCAAGTATAGGGCAGTTGATATAAACATCGTCACAAAATGATACGACATCGTAAATAAGTTAAATTTTGCGGTAAAACTCTATATAAGGACGATACACGGATACAGTTGATTCAAGTATAGGGCAGTTGATGTAAACATCGTCACAAAATGATAAGACATCATAAATAGGTTAAATTTGGAAACAATGATTATAGAATGAAATAGTCTGTGATTAACATATTACATACATTATAAAATGGGCAGGCGTTTTTATATTTCCTGTATCTCTGTATTAATCATTTCGGACTGTAATTAGGACTGTTCACGTGAAAGAAATTGTATCTAAATTTTACAATGACGTACTCGTATGTGACGAAATTTACATTTCTTGACACTATTTTGAAGAACCATACCTCGGTTAGAATTCAATGTTCTTCCAGGAATTATTGGTTGGTTATTGTTTAGCAAAATAGAACTCAAGTTTAACAATGCTGAGTTTAATTTTACTAAGTTATTGAAATGTGACGAAATTCACTTTTCCTGCCCCAACAGTATAATTTCAATGTGATGAAAAATGGGCATGGGTTTCTATATTTCCTGTATAAATCCATTCTAGCTATAATAAGGGCAGTTGATATGAAAGAAAATCTATCTAACTAATGCTATGGCTGATGTGACGAAATTTACATTTCTTGCCCCTATTTTGAAGAATCATACCTCAATTAGTATGTAATGTTACTTTATCACCATCACTTTGTCGATAAATTAGTTATTTTGCCAACACGGAGCAAATAAAGTTATAATATTTTTTTGTGACGAAATTTACAAATTTTTACCCTGTTCAGTTGTCGAAATTTTGCCAATGTTAACATATCACTGCCATATAATAATTTATATGACCGGCCTATGGTTGAAATATTGTTAATTGATCCATAGTACGTAATATAGGGTGTTTAAGTTGGTATACGTATATTTACTCAATTTCACACATGTTGAGATATCATACAAATTTATGTGACTAAATTTACCTATTTCTGCCTTCTGTATTTGTATTTGCCTATAACAATGAATTATGTGAACAATTCCAAACACATTCAGCTCACAAAATAATGCTAGACTATTCGGCATTTCTTGTCAGGATGTCATAAACATCCCTCATATAAATTTCTTAAATGTGTGACGGAGTTTACATGGTGCTACCATTTAACGAAAAAAGTCGCTAAATATGTAGATAATAGTCATATGCAACTATCCTATAAATTTGAAATTCGAAAATTTGGTCAAACACGGCAACAAGGGGTCCATATAAACTCTGTCACGTTTTTATAGTGTGACAAAGTTTACAACTCACTGCCGGCCGCATTTAAGCGATATCTTATCGTCTGATAAAGATATCGTTATGCGACAAAGTTTATCTAGAGGATGAAACGATTATCCTAACCATTGAGGGTTTATATAGTTTTATAGTGTGACACATTTTACATCATCGTGCCATTTAGTAGGGTCACTAATATTTACCAATATCCTCAAACTTCAATGAACGTGTCCATATACTAGTGGTCAGATCACTTGGCTCCCCCAAGTCTGCCAGCAGGTGTTTCGACGTAAGCTGAGGGTTAAGCATACTTGTTTGATGAGGCTGTTAGTTGCCACATTCTAAACATTATTTCGAATGTAGCTCACCCGCTTGCCTTTGTTTTCAAGCACACAATACATCATCATTGCTGAATAGGGTAAGTGCTTTAACAAATCTGTTTCGTTCGAAATTCCCTAGGTTTAGGTTTCCTTAAGCTTTACCAAAGTTTGGGTTGTATTGATATTGTATCGGTGTATTGATACTAATTTCATTACTTATCCAGAATCTGAATATGAAGTCAGAAGGTTTGCGCCTGATAGCTGCATTTCTTGCAGGGTTTCTTTTAGTTCCGCTCCTTTTTCTTTTCTTTGTACAATCTTCAAAAGAGGCAGACACAGAAGAACATGCCAATGGAATCTACAACCCGCCCCAAGATCAAGCGTTTAATCTCAAACTCAACCCAAACAAGAAGTTCATAATCGTATTGGCAGCATTTCGGAGTGGGTCTACGTTTTTAGGAAATCTGTTCGACAGTAATCCTACGTTGCATTACATGTTTGAGCCGTTTCACAGTGCTCATATCCGGAACCTTCGTACCAGAGGTGCTCTATTCGGAGTGAGACCTGACCACACGGAGAGTGACTTGAGGATGTTGTATCTCCAGCAGATGTTACACAACTGTACCATCTACCTCACTCCATTTCCTGAAAAGCACCAGTGGTGTGGTACCGAAGAGGAACATCTACATCGCTTCAATTCGACAGAGTGCGTGAGGAAGATGTGGAAGAACGGAGTGTCACAACAAGAGATCTGTAGATACCGGAACACTACCGTGATCAAGGTTATAAGACTAGAGGATCTGTCTGATATCCTGAAAATAGCCCAGATAAGATCAGCGAATATCCAGATTATCCAGCTCCTAAGACACCCTGTGCCTTTGATGATGTCTCGACGTACTGGAGGCAAAGCTTTTATGTGGGACGACAGAACTAAAGTCGAACCCGATACTAATAATGGTAGCGACATCACTCACAGGCGAACCAAAATAGCATGGGAATCGTTTAACTACTGTAACAACCACTTGAAGGCTATGGAGCTGGTTGAAAATGATCCTTGGCTGAAAGACAGATACTTGAGAGTCACTCATCATGAAATGTCACTTAAACCTCTCGAAACTGCAGAGAAGGTTTACTCATTTATTGGGGCTACTCTAACCGATGGTATTAAAGAGTACATTCGAAATATAACTGAAGCCGAATCAGAAGGGTTTAGAAATGCGCCTACACATGCTTTAAATGTGTACAGGAATTCTACGGATATTGCCACAAAATGGAAGGAATTGGTCTCGGCAACGGTTAAATATCGGGACGTTTTCACCATTGAAGCTCAGTGTAAACGGATGTTTAAACCATTGATACATGAATTTTCTGTTGACACAATACCTGACTTACAGCTGATGAAAATAAACTCAGCATTAGATGTGTTATATGACGAAATTGATTTTGAAGAATCTGATGAACCAGCTATTTCCATAGATGACAATTGAAAAAGCACTCATATCAGCACTGACTGCATGGAGTTATCAGCTTTAAATAATTAAATGTGTGATTATTTGCTCATCATTATTTATTGTTTACTATCATACGACATTGATTTTAATTTTAAGTGATGCATAGCCTGGCCAATGACAGTGATGTTAAATATTCTCAAACATGTAATACGTGGAAAATACTTGTAACATAATTTCACAAAATTTGCCGCATTTTAGAACGAATACTACTACTAGGATTCGATTCTATGTGTGACAAAGTTTACCAAATCTTGCGTTATAACCGTTACTGTTAGATCCCTGCCATTTTAAAGCAATGAAGTTCTTTGATTGTTAGATTGACCTAATCTCCTGCATTTTAAACTAAAGAATACTAATTGGGCAGTTATAATTAACGAAGTCACAAAAATGTGACATTTCTAACATCTCAATGCTTAATAACAATACATTTTCTTTCTGTAAAATATTGTAAATACAGACGTATCTGTATTTCAATTCTGAACAGGCCAGAGAGCGGAATTTTGATACTGTTCAACAATAATGTCAAAGAAAAAGTTATATATTTGCGGTATTTGGGTATTTTAAAAAAACATTTAAGTTTCTAAAGTCCTTTCTGCATAGTTTTTAATATTACCACTTGTTTTGAACGAACGGAAATTCATGCCTGTCCGCAATAAAATGATTAAATCGGCGAAGTTGGAATTGGCAAACTCCGTCCAAACGTTGATCTACTCTGAGACCGAGTCCATCCTGAATTCGCTCGCCTAGTTGCTTAGTTGCGTACCAACATTACATCTTTCATATAGCATATCATTGCTGCTCATCCCTTTTGGCCACTTGATATTCAAGATTGTCCTTAGGTGTCGACGATGAAGTGTATCAATTTTGTCCATGGTAGCTTTTTTAGGACTCCGACTGTTCGAGTTTTAAAGTAGCACGGATACCACTTGGGCATCATAATGCCTCAGTTTTCTTCCAAGGGATATCTTGTTTCCGGATAGCTACACTTTCTCAAACTTTTAAAAGCTAGGGCAGCTAATATTCTTTTCCTTTGAATGTCCAGTATAAAGAAGATACCCCTGGTCTCTTCGTTCATAAAATCATTATTTAATGCTAATGATAATATAAAACGAAAGAAAATCTTAAATTATCTACGTTTAATTCCAGACTTTGAAGATTTGAGGGCCATTGCTCTTGGTATAGTTACATTGAAGTTATAAATCATCCAGTGCTAAATTTATTTGTAAAAGCTTTGAATTGGGTACTACAACAGATACATTTTCGCTGTTTTGAAAATATATTTTGTAAATCGATTTAAATTAAAAATTTTAAATCCTCAATATAACGTCGTGTAATTAAAGCATGCTGTGTTGTAATGGACGATTTAAATGATGAATATTTATTAAAATATTCAAACGCACCCTGGACTCATAATATAGAGGAAAGAGAGCGAAATTTCGAAATAAAAGCTTAAATTTTCAAAACATCGACTCGTTAAACTTACACTCTCACCGCATCTGATGTGTGTAACCCGCTTTGTATTGTTAATGAACAATACGCTAACCGCTAACGTTGGATAGTAGCACCCTGATAATCTGCTTAGTTTCTGAGTTGCATAGTTTGTATCCGGTTTAGACAATTATTGATACATTGATATATTTTGTTGTGTTCGTTGGGAACTTCCATCAGATATGAAAACAGGAGACGTGCGACTGATAAATGCTTTTCTTACTGGTTGTGTTTTAGTTATACTGCTTTTCTTTTCCTTCATACAACCTACAAAAGACTCTATCGAAGGGGAACATGCCGATGGAATCTACAACCCGCACCAAGATCCTGCTTTTAATCTCAAACTCAACCCAAACAAGAAGTTCATAATCGTATTGGCAGCATTTCGGAGTGGGTCTACGTTTTTAGGAAATCTGTTCGACAGTAATCCTACGTTGCAGTACATGTTTGAGCCGTTTCACAGTTCTTATATCCGGAACCTCCGTAGAGACAGGTATCTGCTCGGAGCAAGATCTGACCACACGGAGAGTGACTTGAGGATGTTGTATCTCCAGCAGATGTTACACAACTGTACAGTCTACCCCACTTTTTTCACCGAAAAATATGCCTATTGTGGTACCAAAGAGGAGAATTTACTTCGCTTCAACTCGACTGAGTGCGAAGGAAGAAAGATACCCAGATCACACCAAGAGATCTGTAGATACCGGAACACTACCGTGATCAAGGTTATAAGACTAGAGGATCTGTCTGATATCCTGAAAATAGCCCAGATAAGATCAGCGAATGTTAAAATCATCCAGCTCCTAAGACACCCTGTGGGACATCAGGACTAAGCTCATGAACAGTAAGAACGAGATCACGGAGAGAAGGACTAAAATGGCCTGGGAAGCGTTTAACTACTGTAACAACCATTTGAAGGCTATGGAACTGGTTGAAAGTGATCCTTGGCTGAAAGACAGATACTTGAGAGTCACTCATCATGGAATGTCACTTAAACCTCTCGAAGCTGCAGAGAAGGTTTATTCATTTATAGGGGCTACTCTAACCGATGATATTAAAGATTACATTCGAGATATAACCGAGGCCAAATCAGAGGGTTTTAAAAATGCACCTAAAGAGGCTTTAAATGTGTACAGGAATTCTACGGACATTGTAACTAAATGGAAGAAACTGGTCTCGGCCACAGTTAAATATTGGGACGTTTTCTCCATTGAAGCTCAATGTAAACGGATGTTTAAACCGTTGATTGATGAATTTTCTGTTGACACAATACCAGACTTACAGCTGTTGAAAATAAACTCCGCATTAGATGAGTTATATGATCAGATTGAAGAAACTGATGAACCTATTTCCATAACCATGATAAATGAATTTAATGGATGATTATTTGCTCATCACGATCTACTCATTACTGTTTATTTTAATTCGACATTGAATGTCAACTTGAATTAGTTCATGGCCGCCTGGCCAATAACATGGATGTTAAATTCATTCAAACGTATATTAATATCATGATATAATAATATTAAAAATTTATTTTAAACTAATAGTAATACAATGATACATTAAACTACTACAATGTCAGGATCCCGCATAGTGCATTGGTAGTGTTGACATCATGTCGCTATTATTACCATGAAATCAATCACTTCATCGGGCATCGCGCTAAAAAGCTAGAAACTAGGATAATCGTAACTGACTTATCATTCAGCATCATAGTGGGCCCAATGCCCATGCTTGTACAGGAGTTGCATCTGCACTCGATATCTGTGTTTTGGTGACCAACAAGTCATTTGATTACATACATTTTAAGTATTTTGCATAGTAAACTAGCTTGCAAATCCACACTTTCTCTCAAGGTATATTTGTAGCTTATTCCATTGTGTAATTTGTATGTAATTGATTGATTCAAAAGATTAAAAAATGTGGGTATTTATATCAATTCTCCTCATTCCACTTACCGCTTTTCATCCTCACATAAATTTGTCATGCATCCACTTCCTGGAAGATTTCCACACCCAAGAGGCAGGTAGATCAGCATCTTCATGCTATCCTTTTGTAAGCCCCATAGGTTCAACTAAACACTTGTGCCTGTGGGTGGAAGACCGCACTCTGTAACGTGGGGCAATCTTCCATGATGCCGTTCTTCTTCTCCCTACTTCGTCCCCCTACTTCTTCTCCCTACATCTTCTCCCTACATCTTCTTCCTACTTCTTCTCCCTACTTCTTCTCCCTACTTCTTCTCCCTACATCTTCTCCCTACTTCTTCTCCCTACTTCTTCTCCCTACTTCTTCTCCCTACTTCTTCTCCCTACTTCTTCTCCCTTCTTCTTCTCCCTACTTCTTCTCCCTACTTCTTCTCACTACTTTTCTCCCTACTTCTTCTCCCTACTTCTTCTCCCAACTTCTTCTCCTTCTTCTTCTCCCTACTTCTTCTCCCTTCTTCTTCTCCCTACTTCTTCTCACTACTTTTTATCCCTACTTCTTCTCCCTACTTCGTCTCCCTACTTTTTCTCCCTACTCCAGCAGATGTTACACAACTGTACAGTCTATCTCACTCCATTTCCTGAAAAGTACATGTGGTGTGGCACCGAAGAGGAGCATCTACATCGCTTCAATTCGACAAAGTGCGTGAGAAATATGTGGAAGAACGGATTACGGATAGGAGTGTCACAACAATAGGAGTGTTCTGGTAGATACCAGAACACTACCGTGATCAAGGTTATAAGACTAAAGGATCTGTCCAGATTATCCAGCTCTCCTAAGAGTAAGACTAAGACACCCTGTGGCTCTAGACGGACCGATCCAAGAGTCTTCGGTGGACAGTAGGACAACAGAAGAATCTGGCTAAAATGGCTTCGGAGGCTGTAACAACCATTTAAAAGCTATAGAAATGGTTGAAGGTGAACCTTGGTTAAAAGACAAATACTTGAGAAACACTCACCATGAAATGTCACTTAAACCTTTTGAAACTGCGGAGAAAGTTTACTCATTTATCGGAGCTACTCTAACCGATCATATTAAAGAATGCATTTTAAATATAACTGGAGGCGAATCAGAAGGATTTTTAAATCGTCCCAAACATGCTTTCAATGTTTACAGGAATTCTACGGACATCGTCACAAAATGGAAGAAATTGTTCTCAGTCACCTTTAATACTGGGACGTTTTCTTAATTGAAGCTCAATGTAAACGGATGTTTGAACCGTTAATAGGTCATTTTTCCGTTGATACGATACCTGTTTTTTAAAATAAATTCAGCATTAGATGAGTTATATGACGAAATTGATTTTGGAAGAAACTGACGATCCTAATTTTAATTACGACTGATTGCAAGTAGAATGCAAAAACTATTCTGATTTATCGATTAAGATCAAAAATTTGTTAATGCTTACCCCAGACTGATAGTTTTTATGAAGAAGCTGCGGCGGAATGACAAGCTGAGCTCCGCCCAGTAAATCAATGCTTGATATACCACCGTACTCTAGCTTCTAGAATTTCGATATCACATTTTAAATCCGATTATTCAAAAGTGGTATTATTATACTCGGCAAATTTATACAAAATAATGAATACATTGTTTAGAAAGCATGAAGAATCGTTATAGTTATTAATCAGGGTAAGACAATGAAGAAAAAAAAATCAACATGTAATAACTATGATATGAAAGGGATATATATATTATTATATAATATGAAGAAGAAGAGCAAATTACCAGCTGAATTCACAAAAAAGTACGGTTGACACATGACACTGGGAGTGATAAATTCAAAATAAATCTTCAGTGCAAAAGAATAAGTTTATGAGGTGTTCACCAAACCTTTACCAATACCAGACTCCGCTCTGTCTTTATTGTAGTAGATCTATTACGTTGTCAAACATGACTACTTACGGCCGGGGCTTCATTATTGCATTTGAAAAACAAAAGTTAAAGCTTTATTATGCTTCAAGATGTTGAAAATGTATAAACTCTAACTGTCATGAAGATTCAACTAGATCAAAATGAGACCGAGCTAATAGCTGTATAGGTGAGACCGAGCTAACAGTCGACTATTAGCTCAGTCTTACCTAGTTACATCATCATTGCCTAATTATAAAACAATTTTCTTACAACAGTGTTTTTTCAAGTTCAATCTTTCAATGTCCACGTTCGCCTTATAGAACAGAACCTTCTTTTTATCTTATACAGGATGTTTTTTGATGACTTGCCTTGCAACGCTTGACAGACTAGGACCATTCCCGGATGAAAACTTTGTTACTCCATCACGAATCTTTGTTCTTTCCTCTTCGACGTTTATGTTCTTGTCCATAAGGATGCAAATCTTTGGTATGAAGATGCTCAAGAGGAAGGCTGTTGAGGTGATAGAGACCACTATGGCACGCAGGATAGCTTGAATTTTTGGAGGAGAAAAACCGTATCCTGCCAGGAACATGATGGAGCACAACAACACCACAAATGTGGCACAAAATATGTTGAGGGACTCTCTGAAGTTGTGAGGAAACTTCCTCATCTTGAATGCCAGGACCAAAGTAACGAGAAACGATAGACCAGGCAAAACGATTGGGATTACCAGGGTCTTGCTATTGATGCTGGTACACCTTAGGTGCCAGGATTTGTGAGGCTCTTTCTGGTACCTTTCAAAGGCCCAGCTGGGTCCACTTCCGGTGTTGCTGTCAATGAGAAGGATGATCACTGTTATCGCCAGGGTGAGCAAGTTAAAGGCGGTCTGGCCTGTTCTTTTGAGGAGCAGACCGAACTTTGGCGCCGAAAAACTTTGAGCAGCAGCAAAAATGTCGTAAACCTTAACACATTTATAAAGCAAGTTGGTAGATATCAAGGTAGCAAAAATTGCAAATGAGTAGTACTCCGCTGAGCAAGTTGTGGTCGAGGCTTTAAGAAGAGGAGTCAAAGCCGTAGGATACCCGATCAGCAAGCTTAATAGAACCATATAGAGATAGCCGGGGTCAGAAGCTTTGATAACTGGCCTATCCTCATTTCTAAAGATTACAACACCGAAGACAATTACCATTGCCATACCAAGCGGCATGCTTGAAGCTCCCACGATAAAGGTTGGTGAATTCGGCTGAATGTAGATTTCTGGGGCCAAGACACAAGCAGTGTTATTCTCATTAGCTGACATGGAGGGATCACATACTTTGCAAACATTTGTGTCATTTTCGGTGCTGTATTGGTGAAGATTGCAATCTTCACATGTCCAACAGCAGGGAAGATATTGGATATTCCGATTAAAACGTCGATGGGTGCCTGGCTGGCAGGTATACGAACACGTTTTGTTGTAGCCTGACATGCTTTCCAGAAGACTTTCGTTCATCACTTCTATTCGGTCAACGAATGCCCTTCCTAGAGTCCTGAAAGTCTGTGTCTCAGTTTTGTAGACCCCAATCCTGTAGCCAGTGTTGACTGTCTTGTTGAACATCCTGATGGGTATTGTTACATTTTCTTCCAGAGTAACATTCAACGTTCGATTCTCATTCACGATTTGGTTGAACAGCTTTGTTTTGTAGTCCATTAAACATCGAGTTCCACCAGGTAAAACAGGTACTACCATATTTGTAAGAATGGCATGAAGAGATTCTAAAACCAACTTAACTCCTCCGACCATGTAAGGAATCCAGCTGGTCAGTTTGCACATCTTTGGCTCATCTCCATCTTTTGGACATCTGTAACTTTGTACCTTCTGATAGAGGTCGTCGATATAGTCTCTCTTTTTAACCTGTCTCCAATCTTTGTTTACATCTTTTAACGTTTGGTCCATTTTGACATTGAGGAGATCTGGTAGTGGAAGTATGAGGGTGTTGTGTCCAGAGGTATTTAGGATTGCTGTATAGCCATCTAGGAAACGGTATCGTCCGTTTGATAATCCGAGTATGTAGATCTTATCTCGGAATCCTAGATTTCCGACCATCTCTTTTAGCATTGCTCTGGTTGTTGATCTAGAATTTTGAAGAATAAGTTGAACCCGCGAAGGGGTCCCGCCAGTTTCATTGTAGGTTTGTTTTATCCTTGGAATGTGATCTTTGGATGTGACATCAGTTATTCGTCCACATCCTACCTTTTTGACGTAGCTGTTGAATATGTGCTCGGCCATATCTTTAGAATATTCGTGATACCAAATGTCCATATATTGATAACCCATCTTTTCTAAGAATCGAATAGTTATTTCTGCTTCTTTGACTTCCGTGTCTATCATGGAAAATAGATTTGGATACATGCTACCTGTCATCAACTCATCATCATTGAACATATACACGAATGTGGGAATGTGGAATGATGACATGATAGCAGCAGATCTTTTGGTGTATTCTTTATTGTCGACTCCAGAAACTCCTATGACCTTCTTGTTGCTAGCAAGTGCAGCAGAGATTCTTCCTGTGACAGCTGAACTCATGCAAGTGTCATACATCTCGTATCCCAGGGTCTTGTTGAAATCCTTTTTAAATCTTTCATTTTCTTTGTCTATTACCATCCTAAGGGCGATGGCCTTCTGGATGCCATATTCCTCAATCCCAGAGTAAGAACAACTTTGAACTGGGATTTTAGTGCCGTCATCATCGTCTGTGTACTCGAGCTGGCCTATCTGGAACATTCCTCCGATGATGAAGTCTCCGTCTTTTGCAGCAATGGGGGTATCAAGATACCGTACCTGACAAACTCCCTCATCCTCACCAGCTACTCCTGGTAAAGTGAGCACCAGGAGGACAAATATTGCAAACATTACACAATTTCGTACAATTGATATGTCATAAACATTCACCTCAACAGTCTCCCGATATCTACTATAATTGTTCTGATATTCTACGGAACCACGACATGGACAATAGAAGTATAAATGTACTATAGTTCGACAGAAAATTGCGATTGTTTGGTTATTAGGATCCTTTATCCTTCTTTTATCATACCAGTGAAGAAGATGTGGAAACACGGAGTGTAACAACAAGAGATCTGTAGATATCGGGACACTACCGTGATCAAGGTTATAAGACTAGAGGATCTAGTCTTATAACCTTTTTCGGAGTTGTGCGAGATGACGATACATAAAGGCAGCAGAATTATGAGGACTACCAGATCCTGGTGGAACCTAAGCGATCCATGATATCACGACAGGCCCTAGACAGGCTAGGCTAGTAAAACACGAATTCGATTGTCATGTTTGATTGTTTAGGGCTTGGGTTAGGGTTAGGGTTGTGGTTAGGGTTATTGATAGCTTCAGGGTTATGGTTAGGGTTAAGGTTTATGTAAAACCGTTTTGTTTGGCTGCAAAACCATAAAAATCAAGGTCACATGATAATTTTTGGACTAGCAAATTAGTAAAAGCCTCAATACTGGGACGTTTTGTCGATTGAAGCTTAATGTAAACGGATGTTTGAACCGTTAATAGGTCGTTTTTCCGTTGATACGATACCTGCTTTTTAAACTAAATTCAGCATTAGATGAGTTATATGACGAAATTGATCTTGGAAGAAACTGACGATCCTAATTTTAATTACGACTGTCGATTGCAAGTATAATGCAAAAACTACATATTCTGATTTATCGATTAAGATCAAAGATTTGTTAATGCTTACCCCAGACTGATAGTTTTTATGAAGAGTTGCGGCGGAATGACAAGCTGAGCGCCGTCCAGTAAATCAATGCTTGATATACCACCGTACTCTAGCTTCTAGAATTTCGATATCACATTTTAAATACGATTATTCATATATTTATGTGGTATTATTATACTCGTAAAGTTTTTTATACAAAATAACGAATACATTGTTTAAAAAGCATAAAGAGTCGTTATAGTTAAATCAGGGTAAGACAATGAAAATGAAATAATCAATAATCAACATGTAATATCTTTAACATATGATTTAAAAGTAAAAACACATACAGTAATGTTCACCTGGAGGAGGAAATGGGAATTCTCAGAACCTCCAACAGTGAACGGAACCGAAATAAGTATGCGTTATTCAACTAAATTTCCAGGAGTAACACTCGATAGCAAACTCACGTGGAATGAACACATCAAAAATTAGTATAAAAAAGCCAAAGGCATACTCATGCAATGCAGCTGTAGTCAGACCTTCCCTGACATACGCTGCGACAATCTGGCTCAATGGTGTATCCAAAAAACATAACTTAACAATCCTAAGAAGCGTACAGCGGCTAGGAAATATTCTCATAACAGGAGGGTTACCATCAACTCCTGGAGCAGCTCTAGACATCATCACCGGAATCGTCCCCATCGACCTGGTGATAAAAGAGGAAGCAGCAAAAGGAGCTCTTAGACTCAAATCCAACAACCACTGGATATATGAGCCGATGGTTAACAAGAAGGGCAACCTAGTCACCCATACAAAACTCAACGAACAGTTACTAAAGGCTATCAAACTCAATTCTGAAGGAGAAGATCAACAGACTAGGAAACAACTCAACCGTCTTCCAGGCCGAGACCTTTGCCTTAGGCACAGCGGCAAAAATACTGCGGGAATCTGGAACCAAAACTAGAAAAATCATCATAAATTATGATAGCCAGGAGACAATAATGGCAATGAGCAATATCAAAGTCAAATCAAAAAGCAACAGCATAGCAATCAGTGAGCTGAACCAACTAGCAATGGACAATCAAGTCCTATTATGATGGATACCAGCTCATAAAGGCTATGATGGTAACGAAAAGGCAGACTCTCTTGCCAAAAATGGCTCTGATAACTTGATCTGAGCCCAAGTGCAACTACCAATACCAAAAGTATTATGGAAGGGAGCGCTGCGGAGTATAAATCATCGGAAAATGAGGAAAAGATGGAGAACGTTACCCAACACTCACTTTTAACGAGTATGGAGACATAAATTCGCCAAATCAACTTGGCAAAGAGGGCACAAGAACAGCGACACAATTCTTCACTGGACATTATGAAAAAAACTAACACATTAATGAGTTCATGCCGACGGTCCCCAAAATTTGTCCACACTGTCTCATGGAAGAGGAAACAATGAACCACTTTATTGGTCAATGCCCGAAATGGTCTTACCAACGAGGAGGATACTTTGACTCCTTCTATCTCAGTGTGACAGATATAGTGGACAAGTTCTCACTACCAAGGATCATCGGCTTCATACAAGCAACAAAACGATTTACTAAATGCAAAGAAAACAAAATTTAAAAATGTTTTTTTCCTCGTCTTATTAATTTTACCGGGGTAAGCACAGGGCTCCAATGCTCTATCTTACAGTGGTCACGATCTTTCAATTAGTGATATTGACCACAGCCCCCTACGAGGAAGAAGATATAAAAAGGATATGAAGAAGAAGTGTAAGTTACCAGCTGAATTCACAAAAACGTACGCGTGACACTGGGAGTGATAAATTCAAAATAAATTTTCAGTGCAAAAGAATACGTTTACGAGGTGTTCACCAAACCTTAACCAGACTCTGCTCTGTCTTAATTGTAGTAGATCTATCACGTTGTCAAAAATCATTCCTTGCGGCCAGGGCTTCATTATTGCTTTGTAATACAAAAGTATAAACCGTGCGAAAGTATGAACTGTATGAATTTTGAACTGTGTGAATTTTGCATTTCCTTTATTATGCTACCAGATCTTGAAAATTTATAAACTCTAACTGTCATGAAGATGTAACTAGATGAGACCGAGCTAATAGGTGAGACCGAGCTAACAGTCGACTATTAGCTCAGTCTTACCTAGTTACATCATTATTGCCTAATTATAAAATAATTGTCTTACAACAGTGTTTTTTCAAGTTCAATCTTTCAATGTCCACGTTCGCCTTATAGAACAGAACCTTCTTTTTCTCTTATACAGGATGTTTTTTGATGACTTGCCTTGCAACGCCTGACAGACTAGGACCATTCCCGGATGAAAACTTTGTTACTCCATCACGAATCTTTGTTCTTTCCTCTTCGACGTTTATGTTCTTGTCCATAAGGATGCAAATCTTTGGTATGAAGATGCTCAAGAGGAAGGCTGTTGAGGTGATAGAGACCACTATGGCACGCAGCATAGCTTGGATTTTTGGAGGAGAAAAACCGTAGCCTGCCAGGAACATGATGGAGCACAACAACACCACAAATGTGGCACAAAATATGTTGAGGGACTCTCTGAAGTTGTGAGGAAACTTCCTCATCTTGAATGCCAGGACCAAAGTAACGAGGAACGATAGACCAGGCAAAACGATTGGGATTACCAGGGTCTTGCTATTGATGCTGGTACACCTTAAGTGCCATGATTTGTGAGACTCTTCCTGGTACCTTTCAAATGCCCAGCTGGGTCCACGTCCGGTGTTGCTGTCAATGAGAAGAATGATGACTGTTATCGCCAGGGTGAGCAAGTTGAAGGCGGTCTGGCCTGTTCTTTTGAGGAGCAGACCGAACTTTGGCGCCGAAAAACTTTGAGCAGCAGCAAAAATATCGTAAACCTTAACACACTTATAAAGCAAGTTGGTAGATATTAAGGTAGCAAAAATTGCAAATGAGTAGTACTCCGCTGAGCAAGTTGTGGTCGAGGCTTTAAAAAGAGGAGTCAAAGCCGTAGGATACCCGATCAGCAAGCTAAGTAGAACCATATAGAGATAGCCGGGATCAGAAGCTTTGATAACTGGCCTATCCTCGTTTCTAAAGATTACAACACCAAAGACAATTACCATTGCCATACCAAGTGGCATGCTTGAAGCTCCCACGATAAAGGTTGGTGAATTCGGCTGAATGTAGATTTCTGGGGCCAAGACACAAGCAGTGTTATTCTCATTGGCTGACATGGAGGGATCACATACTTTGCAAACATTTGTGTCATTTTCGGTGCTGTATTGGTGAAGATTGCAATCTTCACAGGTCCAACAGCAGGGAAGATATTGGATATTCCGATTAAAACGTCGATGGGTGCCTGGCTGGCAGGTATACGAACACGTTTTGTTGTAGCCTGACATGCTTTCCAGAAGACTTTCGTTCATCACTTCTATTCGGTCAACGAATGCCCTTCCTAGAGTCCTGAAAGTCTGTGTCTCAGTTTTGTAGACCCCAATCCTGTAGCCAGTGTTGACTGTCTTGTTGAACATCCTGATGGGTATTGTTACATTTTCTTCCAGAGTAACATTCAACGTTCGATTCTCATTCACGATTTGGTTGAACAGCTTTGTTTTGTAGTCCATTAAACATCGAGTTCCGCCTGGTAAAACAGGTACTACCATATTTGTAAGAATGGCATGAAGAGATTCTAAAACCAACTTAACTCCTCCGACCATGTAAGGAATCCAGCTGGTCAATTTGCACATCTTTGGCTCATCTCCATCTTTTGGACATCTGTAACTTTGTACCTTCTGATAGAGGTCGTCGATATAGTCTCTCTTTTTAACCTGTCTCCAATCTTTGTTTAAATCTTTTAACGTTTGGTCCATTTTAACATTGAGGAGATCTGGTAGTGGAAGTATGAGGGTGTTGTGTCCAGAGGTATTTAGGATTGCTGTATAGCGATTTAGGAAACTGTATCGTCCGTTGGATAATCCAAGTATGTAAATCTTATCTCGGAATCCTAGATTTCCGACCATCTCTTTTAGCATTGCTCTGGTTGTTGCTGCAGAATTTTGAAGAATAAGTTGAACCCGCGAAGGGGTCCCGCCAGTTTCATTGTAGGTTTGTTTTATCCTTGGAATGTGATCTTTGGATGTGACATCAGTTATTCGTCCACATCCTACCTTTTTGACGTAGCTGTTGAATATGTGCTCGGCCATATCTTTAGAATATTCGTGATACCAAATGTCCATATATTGATAACCCATCTTTTCTAAGAATCGAATAGTTATTTCTGCTTCTTTGACTTCCGTGTCTATCATGGAAAATAGATTTGGATACATGCTACCTGT